CCAAATCAACTTCTGGAAAAGTCAAAATCTCTCGATTCGTTCGCAAGGGTATCTGAACTTCGGACTACGCAGCTTTGTATCTACGTTTAGGTTTATCTGAGTTTTTTATTTGCTTTTGGCAGCACATGGTTGACTCGTGTTCAGGCAGCTTTTGTCATTCCCACTTGGCCAATCTTGGACGGGTAATTTGATATTGAAAGCGTGCCAAGCAGCAGAAACGGCAGCCGCAGCCGCAGCCGCAGCAGCAAAAGGCAACAACAAACAATAACAATAACAAATGCAACTAGATGCAGCAAACAGCTGTTCCATTTCGTTTGGCATTTACTGCAGTTGTGGGCGAAAGTTTCTTGTTTTTTGGCTTTTGTTTTGTATATATTTCGCCAGCAATAAAAGAAATTAGCCTTGTGCTATAGTTAATGTCGAGTGAAAGCGCATAATATATTACGCACTGATGGCACTGATATCGCAGCACGTGCGACTCGTGTCAACAATCTATCAGCACACTAAGGCGGTGCCAGTGGCCGCGGAGCACCCACCGCTGGGTACCGCTGGGCTGGAGCCGAGCGTCAGCCCGAAATTTGCATGTCTGTGGGGGCGAACCGCAAAGCGAGTCGACTATTTTTAGACACACGCATTGGGTTAACCACAGCGAAACCCAGCAAAATCGAAAATGAACTACAAAGCAAACTAGAAACTGTAAACAAAGCAGAGGCGAGTGCCAGCGAATGAGCTGCCAAATTTGTGCGTCTGTCTGGCTGCCAATATGCGAAGCCAAATCAGTTAGAGTCATGGCAGGCCGGCAGCCGAGTCGAGAGCAATTAGCTGGCGGCTAATGTGCACCACCCCGTGCCCTGGCGACCCACAGCAGTTGTGATGTCATCGCAGCGTTTGTTTGCCTCTGGGCCTCTGGATTATGCAAATGAGAACTCACCTTCGTAGGCACAGTCGACCACATCGTTGCCCAGATCGCTGTACACCTGCTCCTGGGTGGCGAAATGCGAGTCCTCCGGGTCGAATGACCAGTACGAATAGTCAAAGGTGAAGTCGTGGTAGGCCTCCCGGCCGGCGTCGCGTATCGACTGCAAGCGCGGCTTCAGCAGGCGCGTCTTCTTGCCCTCCATCTCCACAATTAGCTGGGCGTCCATATCGTTCTCGCTGTAATGAGGAGCAGAAGAGTGACATTTCAATACGCCGTAAATGACCTTGGCCCCATCGCAATAAAACCAACTGACGTCACGCAAATGATTCGATTTGCCATTGTCATTCGATTGTCCCATTAGTGAGTGCGCCCCCCCTTCGCCGGCTACCCGAGCTGACCCATCCACAACTATTGCTATTCATAGGCGCAGTGCATGATCCCCACGATAGCTGCCACATGCAGCGCTCAAGCGAATATCACATGATTTCTTAGTCGGCCAATTACGAAAACCGATTCCGGTTTCTGTCCACTGAAAACTAACAAAACTTGAATCACTAAAAGGAAAAGACGTTGACCAGCGGCCACACAGTAGAACGTTTGCTGCAGCAACCGGTTCACAGCGACTTCGTCATTGTCATTATGATCATCATCATCATCGACATGCTGATGGAGGCTACACCCACCGCAGTTGCATGTGCCAATGGCAACAACAAACAAATGCCACCAATTCCAAAGACTTGCCACTATGACTCAGTCAATGGCCCCGCATAAAGACAGACGCTGCTGCCGCTGCCGCTGCTGCTGCTGCTGCTGCTGCTGCTGCTACGAGCATTATATTATTCTATACGCTTACGTAGGGCATTTCTATCATGTCATTGAATGTGTGAAATCACTAAAAGGGAATTATTGAGCATAATCTAGTACTGACTGTTATTTTATGATTAAGCTGTTTATAAAATAAATGTTAAAAATATATTTTGGATATATGATAACATGATTATATTATACCATAAAAACAAGAAAATAATATGTAATATCAAAAAAGAAAGCAGCTTTAAAATATAGTTTAATATAGATTTTTGGTACTGAAATAGTTATAAATTTAAGCTACAATTATAAATAGATATTATTGGATTTTTTACTGTAGAGATTAGAGTTCCTACACTTGAAATTATAATTAATTTCAATAAAGCAAATCAGATAAATCAAATTATAAAACTAAATTTTGTTTAATTTTTATAATATCCAAAAGTTTATTTCAAAGTAACAATTTCTTGAAATAAAAAAAAAAATACATATACATAGATTGTATATTATCCTGATGCAAGCGTATGCAATAGTCGACCTTACGTATCTAACAGTTCCATGCCGCTTCATATATGTATATTCTATCTATTTTATTTATTTACTTCATTTTTTTTTTTATCTACATGCGTCTTGTCCCCATTTAAAGCTCAATTTTAGGTCGTTCCTCTTTTTCTTATGGGCGCATTGCTCATTGCTCATTGCTCGTGCCGCTTTGTTGGTGGCATGTTTACGCTCCACATTCGCATTCACATTCACATTCACATCCAGCTGCATCTGAGTGGTGCTCTGCTCAATGCAGTCGAGTGGTTTTAATTCTTTAATCTGTTCGTTGTTTTGTTGTCGAGCGCTTTGAGTCGGTTTATTGCGCATTCCCCTGCGCTTTATCTCAATCTGTGGCGCTGATTTGTTCCATAAGCTACAGACTTGTGCAGTTCTCTTGATTATGACCAAAAATATCTGACTCATCACACAAAAAATGAAAAAAGATACACACACATATACAAAAGCACATATGTATAAGCGAATAAATCGCTAATAAGCTTTATAATGAATATGGAAGTTGTTTGATTTGCACTTGCGTGCAAAGTGTGTTCAAAATAATATGCATAATACCCATAAAGTATGTCTGTGTGGGTTCGTCTGTGTGTGTCAGTTGTAATACTCAGTGAGTATTACTCACGAAATTTGGATACAATTTAAGTGGTGCATACCAATACATAAGCAAACACACACACATACACCCATCTGTACATATGTATTCATAGACAAACATATTTACTTAATAAACAATTACATTTGGCTTGTTTCAATTTTCGCCCAAGCGAAGCGCTCTTCCATGACTGCTGCAGTGAGCGAAATAACCGGGTCAAAACCAAATTCCAACTGGAACTCTTAACTTCTTTTAGCACTTGGATAACAAATAAATATTTTACAACTTCACGCGAATAGGCAGCCATATAAGATTGTTTAACTATGCATTCTTTATTAGTAAATAAACTTTGGTTTCT